TGTCATGACACTGTCACAAAAGTATGGGGACTCTAGAGTGAAATTGAAAGCTCTCTGGTTGCTTCTTCCTTGCTGTCTGCTTCTGAGATCCACATGTCAATGTCCTATCTGAATCTGAGTCTGGGGACCGGTGGGTGTCCCTTGTCAAGTAGACGTCATCTGGCTGACCAGGCCACACATCCCTTATTACAGGACAATGTCTTTTCAGATGGACACTTGCTTGCCAAGCCACAGGAAAGCAGAGGATGTAGCAGGCCCAGAAATCCAGAGCCTTGTCTGGCTCTTAGCTGCAGCTAGCCATCCAGTGTGAACATGATCCTTTATCTTTCTAGTCCTCTGTTTGTTCCTCTGCAGAATGTGGAGTTACCTGACTGCCTGGTCCCTTTGCATCTGGGAACCTTGAACTTCTGCCCTGCCAGAGGTTCCCTGTCTTCATCAATCAGCAAATGTTTATGGACATGCTCACATTCTCAGCCTCCTCCTCATAGGCATTTGGTTGCTTATTAACCCCATTTCTCTGTTTAAATTGTCTCAAGTAAAACAATAAAAATATAAAGAGCTCTAAGAGGGACTGGGAGGAAGTTTCTCACTGGGAGACATTTGTCCACCTCAACAAAGGTTCTCAGGACTCCTCCCCAATCCACAGGAAACCCTCCCCATCCTCTGGCTAATAGAAACAGGGAGGGGGGCCACAGATTTCCCACACTTCCCAGCAGTAGGCCCTAACAAGCCAAGCATAGTTATGCACTCCTATTTACAAAGGGCTTTGGCAACACCAATTTTAGATTTGATCAGCTCTTTCTCCTGACTATTGTGGTAGGTGGGTCAGTGGTTTATTGTGAGTACACAAGGAGACAAAAAGGGCATTTCCTGAGAAAGGCTGACACTCAGGGTCCCACAGGGCACTGAAGCTTAGTGTCATCACATTCCAGAGAGTGGGGGCTTCGCCTTTGCAGTGTAGGATCTCAGCTGTTCAGCGGTGCCAGACAGATGTGAGTCAGGCTTATTATAACCAGTAGACTGGAATATAAACCTTCAGGCCAAATGATTAATTTACGGGAAGAAATATAGCTGCTAAGCAGATTTCATCTTTTTCACCTTTTGGAAAGCACACAGAGAAAACAGAATTGTCATCTGAAGATCTCATTGATGAGCATATTCACTGTAAAATTTAGAAGCCCAATTCCGCTCCTACTGGCTATGTGACCCTTTAGTGTGCACATGGTATGTATTTTATCTATCTAAATTTTTGTGGCTCAAACACTAAAGCACAAAATGGTATATAATGAAATGAAATGTTTTTCATCATCCTGTCACCCAACTCCCCAGTTCCTACTGCTCCCCCCAGGGGACCACTAGGATGTTTCATGTATCCGTCCAATCTATGTGTGTGTGAGCAAAAAACCCATATAGATCTTTATTTGGGGAGGGAGGGCGAATTTGTTAGGAGAATTAAATGTCAAATTCATTTAAAGAACTTTGCATTAACTCTGGCACATCCTAAGTGCCATTCTTATTATTAAGGATAATGATGATGATAAGTCTTTCCACACTCCCCATCCCCTTGCAGTTTGGTCCCCAGTCCCTATCATAGCTCACAGGACCCTCTTGCCTGCCCCTGAAGTTTGATCTTTGGCTCCCACCTCGTCTCATTCCAGCAGTATAGCTTCTTTGAATCCCTAGAACATGCCTTTTTCTCTCACCTCTGCACCTTCAAACATGCTAGTTCTTTTGCTTGGAACATTCTTCTCTTTCTAAAACATAGTTGTCCCTGCCCTACCTCCTTGTCTGGCTAATCTCCAACTCATCTTTCAGGTCTCTGCTTGGGATCATTGTGTTTGTGTTTGTCTCCTGTCTTTCCATCAGCACTGCACTCTTTCTCTCTCATAGCACTTAGTCATTCATTCATTCAACAAATATCAATTTTTTTTTTTTTTTTGAGACAGAGTCTCACTCTGTTGCCCAGGCTAGAGTGCCATGGTGTCAGCCTAGCTCACAGCAACTTCAAACTCCTGGGCTCAAGCAATCCTTCTGCCTCAGCCTCCCAAGTAGCTGCGACTACAGGCATGTGCCACCATGCCCGGCTAATTTTTTTCTATATATATTTTTAGTTGGCCAATTAATTTCTTTCTATTTTTAGTAGAGACAGGGTCCTGCTCTTGCTCAGGCTGGTTTCAAACTCCTGACCTTGAACAATCTGCCTGCCTCGGCCTCCCAGAGTACTAGGATTACAGATGTGAGCCACCATGCCCAGTCATTCAACAAATATTTATTGAGTGCCTACAACATGCCAGGCATTCTAAGCTTATTTATCACACTGTATTGTCATTGCCTACTGCAATACTTCTTGATATATATATGATATTGACTGTAATTCACATGCCATAAAATTCACCTTTTTAAGTGTATAACTCAGTGGTTTTTAGTGTATTCAGAAGGTTGCACAACCATCACCATGACTAATTCTAGAACATGTCCATCACTTCAAAAAGAAACTCATTCCATTAAAAAAATTGTGATTAAAAAAATAAACTCGGGCCGGGCGCTGTGGCTCACGCCTGTAATCCTAGCTCTTGGGAGGCCGAGGCGGGCGGATTGCTCAAGGTCAGGAGTTCGAAACCAGCCTGAGCAAGAGCGAGACCCCGTCTCTACTATAAAATAGAAAGAAATTAATTGGCCAACTGATATATATATAAAAATTAGCCGGGCATGGTGGCACATGCCTGTAGTCCCAGCTACCCGGGAGGCTGAGGCAGAAGGATCACTCGAGCCCAGGAGTTTGAGGTTGCTGTGAGCTAGGCTGACGCCATGGCACTCACTCTAGCCTGGGCAACAAAGCGAGACTCTGTCTCAAAAAAAAAAAAAAAATAAAAAAAAATAAACTCGTTAGCAGGTATACTTCATTCTCCCCTCTGTAGGCCCTGGCAACCACTAAGCTTTCTGTCTCAGTGGATCTGCCTCTTCTAGATATTCCTATTGTTGAAATCAGACAATATGTGGTCTTTTATGACTTACTTCTTTTATTTAACATGATTTTACAAAGTTCATCATGTTGTAGCATGTATCAGTACTCTATTCTTTTTTATAGCTGGATAATATTTCATTGTATGGATGTACCACATTTGAATTCTTCCTTCATCAACTGATGGACATTTGGGTTGTTTCCACTTTTTGGCTCTATGTTGCTATGAACATTCATGTACCAGTTTTTCTGTGGACATACATATTCTTTTCTCTTGGAAATACACCTAGGAGTGGAATTGCTGGTTCATATTTGTAACTCTATATTTAATCTTTTTTGAGGAACTTCCAGGCTGTTTTTCAAAGCAGCTGCACCATTTTACATTCCCATCAGCAAGGTATGGGCTTCAGTTTCTCCACTTCTCACCAACACTTGCTATTGTCCTTCTCTTTGATTATAGCTATTCAGGTGGACGTGAAGTGGTTCTTCTGAAGTTCTGTGAGAACAGGGACTCCCATCTGTCTGGTTTACCACTGTGTCCCAAAACCTAGTCCAGTGCTGGGAATTTCTCATACCAAATATTTTGTTAAATACACTAAAAACGTGTTGGATGAAAAGATAAATCAAAAACTAGTTGAATAGTTACAATGGTTATTATGCATTTATCTCCCCAGTAGGGATCTGTCCTTTTTTTTTTTTTTTGGCACAGTACTGAACCACCTCTCTTCTGTTACCATAGTCTTTCTTCTGGGAGGAAACCGGGTTAAATTTAAAGCTTTCTTGTTTTTCTTCATATTAGTCATTTGTATATTAGGTGTGCACAACCTCCTCATTTAGGCACCTACAGATAATTTCTTGGATATCGGCACATTTGGTTTTTTTCCTGTTATAATTTCTCATACAAAACTTTCAGCTGCCTTCTGTAGGGCTGTTTGCTAACCTTCAGGCACTTGGCTCTGTGCTTGCAAACAGCCTGTTTCTTTTCAGGCTGGCCACACTGAAATAATCAATATCTGTGACAGCCAGCCCCTCTCTTTTGGGTTTTCTCTTAATACTTCTCTGTACTGCTTTGGCTCCCTGCTTTAGAAGCAACCTGGGGACACTTAAGAAAAGAAAGTCAGTTAGGCCAGGGACTGGATGATGCTTCTAGCCAGCACTTAGCACTTGAAAATCGTTGTTCTGAGAATGAATGTGAATACGTGAGACAGACAGGGATTGAGGTGGAAAAGGGATTCTCAGATTACAAAGTGCAGGCTTGGTTAACAATATTTATTGAGTACCCACTGTGTCTTTGGCCCTGTGGTGTATATATAGCACATGACAAACAAAACAAGGGTTCAGCCTTGGACAAGGAGTTTCTAAAATCACATCTAGGTGCCTTATTTTATTTCCATATCTTTTCACTTTTTAACGTATACCTATTGATTTTGAGAATTACCTTTTAGCTGAGGAATCTACTCATTTGCTTAAGCCCAACATAAGAAGTTTGTTGCGATCTAATGTCAGCAAAGCCGGGATTCACCAGTGCCCTCAGGACGCTGTCAAACAGCTAACGCCCCCCAAATGCTAAGCTTCCTGACGTTAGGGGTCCTTGGATGGGGAACCTCCAAAAGAATGGACAGCACGTCCACCAGAGGGTGCTGTGGGGGCAAATTTGTGCCAGGAGGGGAGCTCGACCAGTGACCCTCAGAGGCAGGTAGGCGTTATTGAGTAATTTTCATTCCTCGTGGTGTTTCCTTCCCACCCCCGTGAACCATTGCTGCCCCTCCCCCATATATGGTTCCCCCTGAATAATTAGCCACTTTCGGGGACATAAGAAGTTATTGCTTTGAGAAAACGTCTTGCTTCTGTTGCTGACGCTCAGTAGCTCAGGCCACCCAGGTCACAGGCCGGCCGGGGGCGGGTGGGTGGGGACCGCTGGGGCGTCAGAGGCCCAGCGCCGCAGGGGCCGCGAAGGGGTTAACCCGGCGGGGGGGAGGGGGAGGGGGCGCGGGCCGCGCCTGCGCTCTGCCGCCCTCCATTGTCTCCACGGCGGCGAGGAGCGCCGGCGAGCGCAGCCCGGGACCGAGCGGGGCGGCGCGGCTGGCGGGGCTGGCGGCGGCTGGAGCGAGAGCGCGACGCGACGCGACGCGACGCGACCGCGGCTTCCCGAGCTCCGCCTGACCGCCCAGCGCCGCGGCCCGCCCGAGGCCTGGAGGGGTCCGGGCTGCCGTCCATGGTCGCGGCGTCCTGAGGCGGGGGACGCGCCCGGCGCCCCCAGCCCTCCTCCGCCTCCTCCTCCCGGGCGGGCGGCCTCCTCCGGCGCCTCCCTGCGCCCGCCCGCCGCTCGCCGCCGCCTCCCTCCCTCCTTCCCTGCGGCTCCCCCGGCTTTTGGAGCCCGGGGGCGGCCTGTGGCGCGCGGAGCCCGCGCCGGACTGCGCCTCTTTGGACCTTGAGGGGAAACATGCGTTTGGCTTGGATCGTTTGAAATTCTTAGTTTGGGATCCCCGCCCGCCTGCCTCTTGCGCCCCGCGGGTTTTCTTTTCTTTTTTTCTTTTTTGCCTCTTCTCCCTTCCTGTCTCCTTTTTGACTCCCTTCCCCTTTATGCTCGCCCAGCCCTCCCCCCGCTGCTGATAAGTGGGGGAGGGTCTCGGCCTCCAGGTTCCCGCCCCACCGGGACCCGGGCGAGCATGGGGGGCAAGCAGAGCACGGCGGCCCGCTCCCGAGGCCCCTTCCCGGGGGTCTCCACCGATGACAGCGCTGTGCCTCCGCCGGGAGGGGCGCCCCACTTTGGGCACTACCGGACTGGCGGCGGGGCCATGGGGCTGCGCAGCCGCTCGGTCAGCTCGGTGGCAGGCATGGGCATGGACCCCAGCACAGCCGGGGGGGTGCCCTTTGGCCTCTACACTCCCGCCTCCAGGGGGACCGGCGACTCCGAGAGGGCACCCGGCGGAGGAGGGTCCGCGTCCGACTCTACCTATGCCCATGGCAATGGTTACCAGGAGACGGGCGGCGGTCACCATAGAGACGGGATGCTGTACCTGGGCTCCCGAGCCTCGCTGGCGGATGCTCTACCTCTGCACATCGCACCCAGGTGGTTCAGCTCGCACAGTGGTGAGTCCACGGGTAGTGGAGGCCTCGGAGGGAGGGCGCGCCGGGGCGCCCCAAACCTTCGCGTGCGTGCCAAGGTTTGGGTATGTAGTGCACGACCTGGATGTATCTGCCTTCCCTTTGGTTCCTGATGCCAAGGGATGAATGGGATACCTGCCCTCTAGAAAAGAGGCTTACTGCGAGACTGGCTGCGGAGCCGGGCGTTTTAGGACTCCAGGCGTGTGTTCACTTGTGGATGGGCAGAGTGAAATCTGCCTATTGAAGTCTCGTTTATTGGCGTCACCCTCCTCAGAGAAGAGGTCTTGTCGGCTTAGAGCAAGTCAGCTTGGTGCCTCCATTCTGCCACTGCAGCATTGTGCCTGCCTCACCATTAATAGAGAGATGGATCCAGTTTGACCAAGCAGTGTCTCCTAAACAAAGAGTGTGAAAGGAAAATAATATTAAGGGCAAGTGGTGATTGGATTAAGGTTCTCACCCTTGCTGGGAGAAAAGGCTGCCCAATTTTGCCACCCTGCTGGAGATCTGTTTGAATTGTTTAAAATGGAGCAGCCGGCAGACGGCTAGCATAGACAGGTGTGGCCTGCTGTATGGAGGGCCCAGCCGGCTTTTGCAGGACTTGGGCTCTGATCACCAGTGCTGCATGCAGTAGGCTTGGCTCAAAGACTCACATCCCTCCATCTTTTTTATTCTCCATGCTAAGTGCTTGTTCTTACCCTGAATCTGCATCTTTTCATATCAGAAAGCCTGTCAAGGTGGAGTGTTATTGCCTAGCTGTTGGCACATGACAGGGGAAGAGGAGGATTCAAAGAATCTGGATGAATTCATTTTGTGAACTTTTGGTGACAGGCCAGGAAAGGCTGGAGGGGGGTTTCCCAGGCTCTGATGGGCAGGGCAGAAAAGGCCTGGCAGGCGCTTCTGGAGGAAAACAGGTCTGTCTGGCTATCCTGAGAAGCCAGGTCAGGCTTCTAGAAAATTGGCCAAAAGGGGTGTGGGGCCGCTATTTTGCTAATTGCAAGTTGAGTGAAGAAGTTACATATTCAGAGTCCTTTGGGTGAGTGGGAAAATTTAGATACTGTGTAGGAGATAGATTGCTCCTGCCTTTAAGGTACTCTAGAGGATATATCTGTCAGATCACTATTTTAGCTAATGTGAAACAAGGTCAACTTTTTGGGTATTTCTTTCTTTCCCCCCTGCAAATAGTCTTTTTTATTTTTTGCTAATTATAAACTATAATTTGTGAAATAATTTCTTGGGGGAAATAGTGGCTAATTTAAGGTAACACTTGCAAGTGGCTTTTGAATTGTTAGGATGGTATTTTAATCCCTGAACAGACCTCTGGATATCACTGGAGCTTCACTGACCTCATCAAACTCTGCCCTGAATGAGATGCAAGGCATGACTGCCTTTGGCATTTTTAGGCATTGATCAGCATGAGGCATCTTGAAATTAATAATCTTTCTTGTGAAATTTAGCCTAGAAGGAGTCAGCTGTATTTGTGAGATGATTGTGGTTAAGTTTTTTTAAAAACTGTAATTAGTATCTGGGTTTAAACTGAAAAACATGGTAAGAAGTTTCTCTAAAATCAGTTAGAATTTTGTTTGTTGAAAAACATATGTAATCTTATAAAGGCTTGAGGGGGAGAAAGAAAGGGAGTTCTCTTTTTGCTAAAATTTCTTAGGTCTGTCTCTTACTAAAAATTTCTTCATCCTTTTTCACTACCAGGTTGCATGCTGGAGTTTTGGATTATAATTGGATTCCAAAATTTCATTCCTCAGCTGTGAAACCTTAGTTTTTTTTTTATCCACTTTGTGGTGAGGGTAGGGAGAGCCACTGAACCATGGGGGTGCAGGAGAAGTTGGAGCATATTAATCCTTTAGGGAAGGGTGTCTAAAGTGTGTGTGGGAGGCTGCTATTAATATTTGGGGTAATACATTCTTTTCTGTGTAGGGCCATCCTGTCCTTTTGGAAGACGTTGAACATACCTGGCTCCACCTACTAAATGCTACAGTTCAGTGTGTCACCCCAAGATGCTGTCCTGAATTTCCAAATGCCCTTTGAGGGGGGTGGTACTACCCTAACTGACAACCATTGCTTTAGGAATTCCTTCTTTTCTTCAAATAAAGTAATTAGCTTCTCCTGTGCAGTTCATTTGAGATGAGCCTTCATGTGCAGCAGAGGTTCCATCTCACCACTTGCAACAGGCCAAAGGATCTTCTGGGACATCCCTTTCTTCTCTTGTTCATTGCTGTGAGAAGAAAAACTTGTTTCTTACTTTGGAGCCTTTGAGTAAGGGCTGAGCAGCGTTTGCTCTCATGTTGTAAGATTAGAAGTGTGAGGATTTCTGTGCACAATTGACTAGATGCCTGGAAGTTGATATGATTCTGTTTCCAGGGTGTTTTTGGAACTCTTCATAGGCACAGAAAACAGTAGTCAGTGAAATAAGTGGGGGAGTTCAGTGTACACCAGGCCTCCTCAGAGTGAGTGGGCTTATCTGTGTCTGGAGGTAGAATACTGGGGGGTCCCAGGCCCTGCCCCTCCTCTGAGTAGCTGTGACCTTGGGCAAGACATACCAGTTCTCTGGAGCCTCATCTTTTTTATTTTTTAAATGGATGTGGTAATCCTCACGAGTGGTAGCCTATAAAGTTTGTTCTCTGAACTCTGGGAGAGGAAACCCTGCAGTCACATTTCCCTTTTCTAGGTTCCTACAATTCTCCATGTGGTAACCCTTGCACATTCCCTTCCCTGGGCCTGGAATGCTTTTCCTTCCATTGTTCACATGGATGGCTCCTTTGGACCCCTTAGGGCCCAACTGAAATTCCTCCTCAGAGACCACTCTTAAAAATCACCCCTACTGTTACTCACTCCAGTCACTCACCTGTTACCTTAATAGTTCTTAACATACTTTGTATTTTCTTTATCTGTTCACATTTTTCTGTCTACAGTTTGAGTAAATTCTAACTTCACGAGAGCAGGACTGTGTTTCTCCGTCACTGTTGTAACTCTTGCATTGTGCCTGGCACTAATATTTTTTGAGTAAATGAATTGGAGTGCTTTATGTCCATCATTTCATTTAATCATCACTATCTCTCTGTGAGGTAAGACTATATTTTCCTTCATTTTACAGGTGAGGAAACAGGTTTAGGGGGAGGTCAAGGAACGCATGCAAGATCAGACTGCTAGTGGGTGGCAGAGCCTGGATTGGAATGCAGACTTGCTGGTGTCAGAACCTGGGCTCTTCACCATGCCACCCTCCTGCCTCTCCTCCCCAAACCTCAGGGAGCAGGGCAGCCTCCTGGAAATCACACGTCTCTTGTGAGGGTCTTGTGAGATAATGTACACAAAAACCAAAGGACATGCAAATGGACTGTGGTGGTGTTCCAGTGAGGGGAATTCTCCTATAATTCTCTGCCTTCTTTAATTGCCTCAGAATATGATGGGCAGAGAGGCTTACAACTGTTAGCTGCAGCCCCCAAATGGAAGCTAATTCTGTGTCCTGAAACCTGACCTACATTGATGGGCTGCGTAATAATGAATGCCACTGAGGAAAGCTGCCATAGAGAAGCAGCACTAGAGTCTCTTCCTTTTCACATTAAAGTGTGAATTTTGCTCTAACTCCTAATAGTTGGGTGTTATTAAGGAGGCTTCGTCATTCTTTTATGGTAGTCCAGTTTATCTCCAGATATGGATTTCTAGATAGGGGATAAAAACACAGAGGACCCACCATGTTGGAAGAGGTTGCAGTTTTCTGGGTCCTACTACAAAATGGCTGGTCATTGAGGGTTTCACTGTACCTTCTTGGTCACGTATGTGTGTACCTATCCATATTCAGAAAAATCTAAACTGTTGTCACCAAGCCATCAACTGGGACTGTTATAAAGTCACTGACTTGATAAGTCTTTGAATGTGATAGTGAGGTATCCCAGCGGTTCTGTTTTGCTGCCACTCTGTGATTCTCAAGTGATTTCTTTTTCTCTACTGTTAACTAATGGGGGAGAGTTGCCACTTCCATTGAGTGGATCACAAAGCCTTTGTGCCCCATCATAGATGTGCTAGAGGTCATGAGTCTTTACATGGTTTCTGGATAAGGAAAAGCATCTTGTGGTCTCCAAAGAGATGGGTTCCCTGCCCTGGAAAAGTTCTATTCTTAATGAAAACTTTTTTTTTTTAAAGCAAAATTTTTAGTTTTCTATTACTATGAGGGCTTATTTTTTATGAAGTTACCTTGAGGCAAAGATAATTTCTTGAAGGTCTTAGTTAACTCTTCCTCATTGAGATTTGAAAGGTGTTGCAAGAAATTGGTTTAGCTCTTAAGGTATTGTTTTATGGGATATGTATATTTTGATATTAAACAAAGACCTACCCCAATATGTCATAGGAAATACTCTGAGCCAAGCCACTCATAACCAAATAAATGAAGTTCTAGTTCCTTTTGGGAAAAGGAATATACTTTGTAGTTTACAAATGTAATATTCAACTCAAGTTTATTGAGCACAAAAATTTTAGTACAGTAGCCCCCCAAGGGGGATACATTCTAAGACACCCCCCCCCAGTGGATGCCTGAAACCTTGAATAGTACTGAAGCCTATATATACTATATTTTTCCTATATGTACATATCTATGATAAAGTTTAATTTATAAATTAGGCGCAGTAAGAGATTAACAGCAATAACAATGAAATAGAGCAGTTATAACAACATGCTGTGGTAAAAGTTATGTGAATGTGGCATCTCTCTCTCTCTCTCTCTCTTTTTCTCTCTCTCAAAATACAGTCATGGCCAGCCTTGGTGGTAGCCAGATGCAGTGGCTCACACCTGTAATCCTACCACTTTGAGAGGCTGAGGTGGGAGTATTACTTGAGCCCAGGAGTTTGAGACTAGCCTGAGCAGCATAGCAAGACCTTGTTTTTACAAAAAAATAAAAAATTTAGCCAGGTGTGGTGATGCACTCCTATAGTCTCAGCTACATGGGAGGAGAAGCTGAGACAGGAGGATTGCTTGACCCA